GCTTCATCTCTCCAGTCCTTCTCGCTCAGATTTGGAAAGAAGAACAGAAGTAGCCCCATCATTACTCTTTCTGGGCAGGAGGTGACAATGAACACCACCTCTTCATAATGGAAGGCTGGTTATGTGCCAAGCAGTCCTCCAGCCCCTTTACTGTCTAACTCGATCCTCTTGGCATCCCCAAATGTTCCTGGTGTGGGGGCCTCTGAGCCTGGGAGAGACTTCCGTGTTGCACTGGGGCTCAGCACGGAGCTCTGCTGCAGGAGGCCAGCAAGTGACAGAGCAGGCATTCAAACCAAGATCTTTCAGACTCCAAAACCCAAGCCTATCAGGTGATAACAGAAATGTCCTCTGTGTTATTAGAAAGAAGGGAGAAGCAGAGTCAAAGACCCTTCCTTTACTTGCAATTTCTTAATTTTCATGCCCAAACACTTCTTGTCTCTTACAAGCCACAGCGCACTGCGCAGACATGACCCCTGGTCAGTCTATCCCAGGGCCCTGGGTGGAAAGTACTGGCTGCTGTGACCCTGATGTGGTGAGTGGGCCCAGGGGCCTCTTTGATCTCTATTTGCTTGGCCTGGACTTTGTGTCACAGAGCAGCTTCTGGGGAAGTGTTTATTGCACTCCAGCCGGAATGACCTTCTAGCCTGTTTTCCCGCCTTTGTAAAAGATAAGGTGGACCAACACTAAACGGCACATTTGAGGTTCTGTCTTCCTGTACCAGTATAGACTGAGCCCTGTGGTAGGTTGGGCACAGTGCCAAGCAGTGGGGCACCGCAATGCTGAAACTCAAGTGCCTCACTATGTCCAGGGAGCTGATGCTTTGGGAAAGGAGTCAGACAAGTCAGAGGAAGCCCAGTGAATCCAAGAGTGGTCAGAAGCTAAAGAGGAACATGGAGGACCAATGGAAATCTGGAAAGAGTGGAACTCATCTTCCACAGGGCTTAGGAGAAGGCTCCTGGAGGAGGTGTCCAGGAAATAGAGTGGCACTCAGGAAGAAGTAGATGGGAAGGGGGGGAGAGAAAAGTGGGTGGGTAAGTGTGAGGCATGCTCGGAGAAGGTGCAGCTGCCTATGTGATGGGAGCAGAGCCTGATGGGGCGGGTGGGGAAGAAGGGAGGGAGGTGGTCTGAGACCACCTGGTGCAGGGGTCTGAAAGTGGCCAGCCTTTTGGATGGGAAACACTAAAGTTACTTGAGCAGGGGTGTGGCAAGATCAAGATTGGGCTGTTGAGAGATGGACAGCACTGAGCCTGGTCCATGGAAGGTGCTGGAAACATGTTTGCGTGGACTGGGGAGGATACGGGATAGGAGGAGAGCTAACAGCGACTAGTGCCTGGCCGACTCCTCAGTCCTAATTCATTTACTGCTCATGACTACCTCCTAAGAAATAGATACTGTTATTATTTTCATGTTAGAGGAAAGGTTGACCTAAGCTGTAGATGTGGTTGGTGAGGAGAGGGGTGGACAGAAAGCAGCTGAGTTTGCTGAGGACTGAACCTGAGCACAGCAGCACAGCTACCCTCTCAGGGACTCACTCACTGTGTCTATAGGCAGTCACTTCTGTAAAGCAAACCAGTCAATGTGAGTGTGAGTGCTCAGGGGACCACGGCTTTTTGTCAAGGGATAGGAGTGGGACACAGCCTGTGTCCTCTGCCCCTTGGCCCTGCTCTCCAGTCAGAGTTGGTCAGGGTGGTTGGGGTTGGCCTCAGCCCCCGACTTGAGGGTCTTGTGTCCCCCTCCCAGGCCTTGTCCAGGCCCAGCTGCCTGTTTCTGCCCGAGGGTTTATCCACATACCTCGCTACTTTTTGGCCTTTTGGGTGCACCCTGAGCGGGCATGGCCTGCAGGGTGAGGAGGGACACCAGGGACAAACGCAGCAGCACCCGCATCCCCATGGCACCGTCCATGGTCTCAAGGTTCCTGCTGACTTGTCACTTCACTCCAACCATCAGTCAATAAAGTGCTGGACAAACATGGATTAAACATTAGACAAGATGAGGGCAAATGTTGTAATTTGGGGGATCTGGAACTGACAGTGGGGGATTCCCAGCTGAGCAATACTTCAGGACCCTCTCAGGTAGCTGTGCCACTGGTGCAACAGGACAGCACCCAGGACCAGACCTGCTCTCAGCTCTGCCCATATGGCCAACTGCCTGCTCGGTTTTCACAGAACCCCTCAATCTGAAATCATGCCCTTTCTCTCTCCTTCCTGCACCCCCACCACCGAGCCTGGTCTTGCCCCTCTTGCTGTCCACCCCAGTGAAGGCCACCACCATCCTTCCAGGTCTCCAAGTCAGAAAGCTTGGTGTAATTCTGATGCCGCCCTCCCCTAGACCCCCTACCCCAACCCTCCAAATATTTTTCTAGTCCACTTACTTCTCTTCAAATCTCCAGTTACCACTGAGTCTAAGCCACCCTTGTCTATCACCTAGAGATCTGTCCCTCCTACTTCCATTCTGCTCCGACAGACTATTCTATAGCAGCGATCAGAATCATCATTTAAAAAGCCAAACTGCTCTAGGCCTTTCCTTGTCTAACGCACTTCCAGGTCTTGAGTAGTCTGGCCCTGCTGACCCCTCCATGTCAACCCAGCCATCACCCCTCTAGTCCTCTCAGCTTCAACCATAGAAACTTCTTCCTGATCCATGTAGGCAGGTGCTTTTCTACCCATTCATTTATGAACCCTCAGTTTATCCACTCATATCGACTAGGTGCCAACCCCTGGATTTGGGGCATTGAAGCAGGTAGGCTGACTCAGTGTTCAGGGAGTTCACACTGAGGTGTGGAGGTGGAAACACAAAAGAAGTCCACTGGGCCTTAGCACAGGGTGCTCACTCTGACCGAAAAAGTTTTCCTTCAAACTTAAGCCCAAGCAATGCTTGTTTGGGGGGCAACCTCCTCCCCATGCCTAGGCTGGGCCCAGTGACCTTTCTGCACAGCATTGACCTCATTTAGCAAGAATAACTTGTTAGCATGCCTCACTGGTTAATGGCCATCTCCCTCTTTGACTGTACACCCCACAGGGGCAGGACTTTATCTTGCTCACTTTGTGCTTCCAGGGCAGGGCGCCAGCCTTACAAACATGTGGGTCCATACTAAATGTCTACAGAATGAATGATAGATTTTTTAAAAACATTTTATTTATTTATTTATTTATTTATTTATTTATTTATTTATTTATTTATTTTTTAGAGAGAGGGGAAGGGAAGGAGAAAGAGGAGAGAAGCATCAATGTGTGGTTGCCTCCCACATGCCCCCTACTGGGGACCTCACTGGCAGTCCAGGCATGTGCCCTGACTGGGAATCAGACCTGCAACCCTTTGATTTGCAGGCCTGCACTCAATCCACTGAGCCACACCAACCAGGTGAATGATAGACTTGATGAAGAGTGAGTTGGGGGAGGTAAAAAGCAGAGGGCAGAGCACAGATCTTGAGAAACTTCAAAATCTGAGGCCAATATGAGAAGTCAAAAGAGAATAGACGAGGCCCTGGCTGGTGTGGCTCAGTGGGTTGAGTGCCGAACTGAGAACCTAAAAGTCACCTGTTTGATTCCCAGTCAAGAGCACATGCTTGGGTTGGGGTTGCTGGTCAGCCCCCACTTGGGGGCGTATGAGAGGCAGCTGATAGATGTTTCTCTCCCTCTTCCTCCCTCCCTTCCCCTCTCTCTAAAAAATAATATAAATACAATTTAATGAGAGAGAAAGAGAGAGAGAGAGTAGAAGTGTATAAAGGGAGCATGAGAGCCAGGAAAATTCTAGAAACCAAGAAACAAGAGGATTCCCCAGAGGGGCAATGACTGCTGGGGGGAAGAGGATTGGATGAGGACTAAAATAAACTTCTAGACAATCTGAGTCATTCTCTGGGAAGCTTTCTTGGGGGCAGATGAGGCCAAGTGACTATGAGGGCTGGGGGACTTAGGAGCAAGCAAGCCCTAGAGCTTCTAAAATATTGTTTTGAGCTTAACTTCCCAGGGACTTGTTTTCTTTAACTGTAAAGTGAGGATGATATGAGCAACAGCCACACAGGGTTGATGTAAGCATTTAATGAACTAATGTACTTGCCTCCAGGAGGAGGCTGAGGATTAACTGGAACAGAGCATGAATTAACTTTCCTGGGTAATAGTATGCTCAATATTATATATTTTCAACAGGGTGATATTGCCCCCAACTGGAAAAAATTGGTTGTCAGATGTAGGCAGAAGAAATCTTATATTTCAAAGAGATGAAGTCAGGTCCTTGAGAAATACACTCCTGGATCCTACAACATAATATATCCCCATCAAAAGGACATAGGAAGGCTTTAACAATCGCAAGATTTGGAGGGGTGGGGAGGGGTGATGGTAAATGCTTCAGAAGGAGGCGTTGGCTGGAGCAAACAGTAAATTCTTGTGGCAGCTTTGAGGTTTCATAGGCAGGCCTTTAAGGGAGGGCCGGGGTCCTCCCAGGGACACTGCCTTAGGCTGTTAGAAGCCGTGCCAGAATTTGGTCAAGTCCCTTAGTGCAGGGGAATAGATGGAGTCATTACGCAGTTCTTCACATTTTGCAATACAAAAACTGAAGTGCAAAGTGAATTGGATACATTTGATTTACTTCGAAATGAGTGAAAAATAAGATGGGTTGCTGGATGCGCAGATAGACGTGTGACAAAGGGGTAAACAAACCAAATGTTACTTGTAATACAGAGTCTAGAGTCTGTCGCTACCTCCCACCCTCACTAGAATGTGAGCTCCAGGAGAGCAATGAGTTTGTCGACCTGGTACATGGTAGACAGCCAATACATATTTGTAAAGCGAATGGCGAATACTCATAAAGCGTTTAAAACAAGTACTCAATAAGCGGAAGCCTCCGTGCCCTTACTTATTTTGCCAGGAACCCGGAGGTTCGCGGCGGTGGAGCTGAGCCTGAGAGTGCACGCAGGGGCCAGTGGGGCCGCTCTGGCCGCCCCGTGCCTCTCTCTATGGCAGGTCCTCTGGAGGCAGCGGAACCACTCAGTGGAGCCTCCGGGACCTCCAGAGCATGCGCGGAGCTGCGCCGGCTGGGATCGCTATGGCAGCGGCGCCGCCTTGGGCCGAGTGTTCGCGCTCCAGCGCGGGCCAGGCCGTCTTTGCAGCCCGGGACACGGCTGCTTATCGGGCATGAACTGGGCCCCTCACTGTGGCCTGCTGCCCTGCCTTCCGCCGCCTTCGTTGCCGCACCCCGACTGTTGCCCCGCGCCGGGAACATGCCCCTGGACACCTACAGCTACCTGCAGGTCGTGGGCAGGGGCAGCTACGGGGAGGTGACGCTCGTGAGGCACCGGCGGGACGGCAGGCAGGTCGGCTGAGTTTAGGGGTCCATCTGGGGGCGTGGGGCACGTAGGGGTTCACCGAGGGTGCCATCCAAATGTTAGGCCCTGTGGTGGCTGAAGTGGGTTCACCTCGTATGACACTTCCTTTGGGCCAGTGTCCCACACCACCAAGACCAGGCCCTACCTTCCTGTAATATGCACCCTGGATGAATACCCTGTAGTTTTTCTTTGTAGTTTTATTGCTGTGCTTGATCTACGCTTTCTCCCTCACTCAGCGATCTCTTGAGATCATGCATTCCCAGGACCTAACACAGCGCCTGGCAAATACTACTACTTTAACAACAGGCCCCTCACTTGTGGCCTCAAGGCTATGGACTTCACTTAAAACTCAACTCCTCACCTTCCCCGCCAAACCTCTCAAGATCCTTATTTCAGGTAGTAGCACCACTAACCAGTTGCCCATGTTGGACACCTGGGGGTCATTCCTGACTCTCCTCTTACCCCCACTCCCATTCACCTGTCTACTCAGCTAGCAGGCTCTTCTCCCCCTCCACCGGTACTACCCCAAACCAGGACATCATTATCCCTAGAGAAACTATTGTCCAGGCTTCCCATTGGTCCTCCCTGGCACTAGACTCGCTCTTCTCCAATCCATCCCTTTCAGTGAAGTCTTAGGGATTGTTCTAAAACTTTTTATTTAATGTCACTCCTTTGCTTAAAGCACTTTATCCCAACCTCAGGATAATGAGCTAGTTCTTTAATGTAGTTTATAAATAGGGAGACTAATGTACTGTACAAACTGGGACAAGTTTGCAACTAAAAGGAGGTGCCATTAATTATGACACCAGTAGAGGGTCTGCTGCAGACAAGCTTAGAGATGTCTCCTTAAATTTAAGGCTTTCTCACCTATTCTGCCTTATTTCCTGTGCTGGTTTTTTAGAGTTGATTATGGGGTTCTAGCTGTAATAATAGCCCCTCACATTTCAGCAGTAGTTTACACTTTACAATGCATGTTTATATATGTGTTTGTTAAGTAATGAGTTGTATGGTCTTTTGATTGGTTGAGGGCATTGTATTAGGTATGAGAGGATATTGATAAAAGTAGGAATAATTTTGTATGTTGAGGATCAGTGAGTTTTAACCTTATTGGGCTATGGATCCCTTTGAGTACTTAATGCAACTCATGGATCTATTCTGTCTGTAGGAATTTTTGGTGACAGCCCCCCCACACCCTTCGCTCTAAGTCTAACCTGTAAAAAGCACTGTTAGTGATAACAAATGATTTTTTTACAATTTTGTGCTTTGTGAATAACAAAATGACTAGGTTATCGGACAGGTTCCAGAAGATTAGTTTTGAGGACAGTCAGGAGAACCCTAAATCCTTCCGAACCTATAGAACTGTATGTCTATTTGTGCATTGTAAAAATATGTGTTTTCTTTGTAGTATGTCATCAAAAAACTGAACCTCCGAAATGCCTCCAGCCGAGAGCGGCAAGCTGCTGAACAGGAAGCCCAGCTCTTGTCTCAGCTGAAACACCCCAATATTGTCACCTACAAGGAGTCATGGGAGGGAGGGGACGGTCTGCTGTACATTGTCATGGGCTTCTGCGAAGGAGGCGACCTGTACCGAAAGCTCAAGGAGCAGAAAGGGCAGCTTCTGCCTGAAAGTCAGGTGGTGGAGTGGTTCGTTCAGATTGCCATGGCTCTGCAGGTACTGTCCCCACTCTTAGCATCCTCCTGGTTCTGAGGGGGCGGGGATGGCAGGTGGGTTTTATGGAAATTCTGCCCCAAATGTGTATATGAAAAAAATGTGTTTTTTTAAAGTCATTTGTGAAGTAGACCCAGTCACCCATGTTGTATCATTGGAATGTTTCTGAATAAGGGATATGAAGTAGACATGGATTTCATGTCTAATTAGAGGGAAAGCCAGTTCTCTATTCTTTTTTCGTTTTTTTTTTTGTTTGATTTTTTAGATTTCATTTATTTATCTTTAGACAGAAGGGAAGAGAGGGAGAAAGAGAGGGAAACATCAATGTGTGGTTGTCTCTTGTGTGACCCCTATGGGGACCTGGCCCAAAACCTGGGCATGTGCCCTGACTGGAATCGAACTGATGACCCTTTGGTTCACAGGCTGGCACTCGATCCATTGAGTCACACCAGCCAGGGCTATCTTCTTTTTAGTATTTAAACCAAAGTTCATTTGAAGGGCCCTGAGTCTACAGAGAACAAAGAATGACCATGTTTGTTATTAGCCAGTCAGCTGTTTCAAACTGAAAGGTGGTTGGGCTAATTAGTATGCCTCAACTGTAGGGGTTTAGGCTTTAAACCTGTGGCATAGTGAGTGGAAATGCAAAACATGTTTGGGGTTAAATATACAGATATTCAAGAGTGAGACTGTTTATGAAATACTCTAGAACTGGGCAGATTTGTCCAGAATTAATTGACCTTGTAGTTTAAATTCTAGGATACTCTCTCTAAGTAAAAGTGAACTTGATATATTTGAAAATATTAATAAGCTGAAGATTTTATGAATCTGAGAGGAATGTGCACCTGACCTTGTGTAAGTTGTTTTCTCCTACCTTCAGGGGCAATTTGTAAGCATGTTTTTAAACTGGATCCATATAACAGTAAGTGGTATAATGGTCAGTGAACAATTGTGAAGGAAGCTGGGCAAATTAGTGCATGGAACTTAATTTTTTTAAATCTTTTTTAAAATCAGTGTCCACCTTTAACACCTGCTGTAGTCACAAGTGTTTGTTGGGGAGCTGCTGAGCACTTGGGGAACCCCAGGTGCTTAGGGTCTGTCTATGCTTAGTATTCTGTGGAATTGTCATGGGCCTATAAGTGAACTTTAGAGAGCTCGGGGGTGGCAGGGGAGCTGGTGGGGGTTGGGGTCAGGTGCACCCAGTCAGGCCACAGGGCAGCGTGTGGCTTTCTCTGGGTTTTCAGATAAGGCAGTTCTCTTAGTGGACATTGTGGTGATGTCCTTCAGGACTTGCAGGTGGGAGCATGGGTCACTGAGTACAGATACGGCAGCATCTGGGGAATGGGCGCCTGCCCCGGGCCCGGCGGGGTGGACTTCCACATCTTGGACTTGAACAGTGTATTCACCATTGTGGACTTGCCCAGCCCACTCTGCCCAGCACTGCCCACTCTACTCCCATCACTGCCGTCATGGTTGCCATTGCTGCCATTTGCTTGTATTTTTTTTAATGTTTGAAAATTTTATATTTACTGATTGATTTTAGAGAGAAAGGCAGGGGGAGAGAGATAGAGAAACACTGATTTGTTGTTCCATTTATTTATGCATTCATTGGTTCATTCCTGTATGTGCCCAGACCAGGGATTAAACCTGCAACCTTGACATACCTGGTAAGACGGTCTAACCAACTGAACTACCCAGCCAGGGCAATTTTTTTTTTAAGTTATTTATTTGAGAGAGAGGAAGGTAGGGAGAAAGAGAGGGAGAGAAACATCAATGTGAGAGAGAAATATCAGTCAGTGTCCCAGCTGGAGGGACAGACCACCTCTTAGACATGTGCCCTGACTGGAAATCCAACCAGCAGCCTTTCACTTTGCAGAACGATGCCCAAGCACCTGAGCCACACTGGTCAAGGAGGGGCAGTTTTTTTACTTTGGAAAGTTGTAAATTAGACTTTTTATTTACAGACTGTAAAACTGTAGTGTTTGATATGTAGGTAACTGAGCCTGTTTAACTCATGCAATTATTGATGGTATATAAGAAGTCAGGAATAAATGAGTAAGTAAGCATATTTATACTTAACGAAATTTTCTTTCTTTTTTCAGTATTTACATGAAAAACACATCCTTCACCGAGATCTAAAAACTCAAAATGTCTTCCTAACAAGAACAAACATCATCAAAGTGGGTGACCTAGGAATTGCCCGAGTGTTAGAGAGCCACTGTGACATGGCCAGCACCCTCATCGGCACACCCTACTACATGAGCCCTGAACTGTTCTCGAACAAACCCTACAACTATAAGGTAGGATTGGGCTGTGTGCCCAGCTCACCTGCTGTTGACAACAGGATTCATAATTTCAAAGCTCCTCAGAATAGTTATGTCAAAGAATTCTCTGTGAATTGGCTTAAGGAAAATGTCTTTTCTTTTTTAAGAGGAAAAATGTAAATAAGGTGTCCTGATATATAACCATTTACTATTTTTCTTTTCTAGTCTGATGTTTGGGCTCTGGGATGCTGTGTTTATGAAATGGCCACCCTGAAGCACGCTTTCAATGCAAAAGACATGAATTCTCTAGTTTACCGGATTATTGAAGGAAAGGTAAAGAATATTCTGAAACTAATTGTTTTTAATATTTGGACCAAGGTTAATTCAATGCAGCTTTGTAAGTAGCTGCTGGTAAAAGAGTAATCGTTGGTGTTGGGTGGACAATTAAAAATGCTGGGTCTACAAGGAGGAACACACCAAGGCACATCATCATTACATTAGCCAAGATTAAAATGAAGGAGAGAATCATAGAAGGAGCAAGAGATAAGGAGACAGTCACCTACAAAGGAGTTCCCATCAGACTGTCAGCGGATTTCTCAAAAATGACTTTACAGGCAAGAAGGGGCTGCAAAGAAGTATTCCAAGTCATGAATGCAAGGACCTACATCCAAGATTACTTTATCCAGCAAAGCTTTCATTTAGAATGGAAGGGCAGATAAAGTGCTTCCCAGATAAGGTCAAGTTAAAGGAGTTCATCATCACCACACCCTTATTATATGAAATGTTAAAGGGACTTATCTAAGAAAAAAAAGATAAAAAACATGTATAGTAAAATGACAGCAAACTCACAATTATTAACAACCACACCTAATACAAAAATAAAAACAGACTAAGCAAACAACTAGAACAGGACACAGAACCACAGAAATGGAGATTGCATGGAGAGTTATCAACAGGGAAGTGGGAGGAGGAGAGAGGGGGAAAAGGTACAGAGAATAAGTAGCATAGATGGTAGGTAGAAAATAGACAAGGGGAGGTTAAGAATAGTATAGGAAATGTAGAAGCCAAAGAACTTATATATACCACCCATGGACATGAACTAAAGGAGGGGAATGTGGGTGGGAGGGGGTGTGCAGGGTGGAAGGGAATGAAGGGGGGAAAATGGGACAACTGTAATAGCATAATCAATAAAATATTTTTTAAAAAGACAAAAAAATGCTGGGTCCCTTCTGTGGGTAAGGTAGAACTAGAGGAGAAAGGATTGATAATTTCTTAATATTAATTTATAAAAGTGGCTTAATGGCTCCAAAGGATTGGCTTTTTGAAAACCACTGCCTGTAGCCATAGGACTTGCAGGTGCCCTGAGAGATTATTGGTAGCTTTTCCTAAGCAGCTATGTTTCAATGAGCCCCACTTAAAATGTGTTCACTCTGGCTCTGTCTGGTGTGGCTCAGTTGACTGGGCACTGTTCAGCAAAGTGAAAGGTCACTGGTTTGATTCCTGGTCAGGACACATGGCTTTGGTTGTCTGTTTGGTCCCTGGTCAGGGCAAGGGGCAACCAACTGATGTTTCTCTTTCACATTGATGTGTCTTTCCCTTTCTTCCTCCCTTCCCCTCTCTCTAAAAATAAATAAATAAAAATCTTTAAAAAGATGAGTTCACTCTGTTGGAACTTGTTCCTTTGATAATCATCACAGTCACTAGTAACCAGTTAAGAACCGCAAAAAGCCCTGTGTGTAATATAGATGCCAGCGTGACCGAGTTTTTGCATTAGTTCCACGATGTTAGTTGCCTTCTGCAGTGTAAGGCGTCCACACACCAAGTCGGAGGCTATGAATCATCTACAGATTCTATTATTACACAAAGACTCGTTTAATTTTTTAGTTTGAGAAATACTGGAAAATATAAAAAGTAAAATTTGGCCGTGATTCTGTTTAAAGAATCAAACAAGAAATGAGTGAAATTCCCCTCTCCTATTCATTTTAATCCCTAGGAGATAACCATAGCTAACAATTTGGGGCATGGTATTCCCGGATTTTTCCTGTCTTATGCATGTATAGCTCTAGGTGAAGTAACTGAAATGGAATCAGACTGTACCCATTGTTAGACAACTCACTTTTTTGACTTAATGTATGAGGGACATCTTTCCAGGTTGCCACACAGCCTTTATTGTTTGAAGAGGCTGCCTAGTGTTTTATTAGGAAGCTATACCACAGTTTCCTACGAGTCCCCTGTGGGTGGACATTTAAGTTGTTTCTAGTTTTTCACTACTGTAAGAACAGTATTGCAATGAATATCCTGTTACATAACTCTTTAGGAACTTATACCCTTATTTTCTTTTTAAAAATCATTTAAAAAAATTTGTTTCCAATTACAGTTGACATACATTATATATTACTTTGAGGGGTACACCCCTGTTATTAGACATTACATAACTTACTAAGTTATCATCCTAATAAATCTCATACCCATCTGACATTGTACATAGTTATTAGAATAGTATTGACTATATTTCCTGTGCTGTACTTTACATCCCCATGACTATTCTGTAACTACCAATTTGTACTTCTTAAATCCCTTCATCTTTTCACCCATTCTGCCAATCTCCCTCCCATCTGGCAACTGTCAAAATATTCTCTGTATGTATGAGTCTGTTTCTGTTCTGCTTGTTGGTTTACTTTGTTTTTTAGATTTAACTGTTGATATGTATTTATTGCCATTTTATTGTTCATACTTTTTATATTTCTTCTTCTTAAAGAGACCCTTTAACATCTCATGTAATACTAGTTTGCTGGTGATGAACTCTTTTACTGTCTGGGAAGTTCTTTATAGGTACTTCTATTTTTTTTTTTTATTTTTAATTTTTAAAAGATTTTGTTTTTTTTTAGAGAGAGGAGAAGGGAGAGAGAACAAGAGGGAGAGAAACACGGAGGTGCAAGAGATACATCAATCAGTTGCCTCTTGCATGCCCCCAATGTGGGACCTGGCCCACACCCCAGGCATTTGCCCTGACTGGGAATTGAACCAGTGACCTTTCGGTCCACGGGCACTCAGTCCACTGAGCCACACCAGCCAGGGCTGTCCTTCTATGGTAAATTATGGCTTTGCAGGGTAGAGTAATCTTGGTTGTAGGTCTTTGCTTTTCATCACTTGGAATATTTCTTGGAATCTTGGCCTGCAAAGTGTCTGTTGAGAAATCAGCTCAACAGACACTTCAAACTGATGTGTCTAATGGGAGCTCCCTTGTGGATAACTAACTGCTTTTCTCTTGCTGCTTTTAAGATTCTCTCTTTATCTTTACCCTTTGGCATTTAAATTATGATGTGTCTTGGTGTGGACCTCTTTGAGTTCATCTTGTTTGGGACTTTCTGTGCTTCTTGGACTTGTATGATCATTTCCTTTACCAGGTTAGGGAAGTTTTCTGTCATTTTTTCAAATAGGTTTTAAATTTCTCTCTCTTCTCCTTTCAGCACCTCATGATGGGAATGTTGGTATGCTTGCAGTTGTCCCAGATGCTCCTTATACTGTCCTCATTTAAAAATATTTTTTTCTTTTTGCTGTTCTGATTGAGTACTTTTTGTTTCCTTATAGTCCAAATTGCTGATTTGATTCTCAGCTTCACTTACTCTACTGTTGATTCCCTATAAATTAGTCTTTATTTTAGTTAGTATATCCTTTTCTGACTGGTCCTTTATGTTGCTGAAGTTCTCACTAAGTTCATTGAGCATTGTTACAACCAGTGTTTTGAATTCTGCTTCTAGGAGATTGCTTGTCTCCATTTTGTTTAGTTCTATTTCTGGCGATTGGTTCTGCTCTTCCGTTTGGGACCATGTTTCTTTATCTCTACATTTTGGCAGCCTCCCTGTGTCTGTTTCTATGTGTTAGGTGGAGCTGCCCAGGCTTGGTAGAGTGGCCTAATGTATTGGGTTGGCCAAAAGGTCCGTTTAGTTTTTAGTTTTTTCCCTAAAATAAAAGACTTTTTTTTTTCATTTTCACCAGTAACTTTATTGATTTGGATGTTTCGAGTATGTTGGTTATCTCCTGCGTTGTATAACGTCGATTGTTCTCAATTAATGTTTCAATTTGATTGCTATGAATTCCTACTAGTCTGCTCAATCCTGGAGCATCATCCAGAGAGGATCTCCAGCATGAAACTTCACAAACCACTTTTGAGATGTTCAGTCAGTCACAGCACCTTCTCCATACACCGTACAAATCCTTTTTTGTGTTTCAGTTGTGCTTTTACCTTTTTTGAAATAATAAAGCATAATATGCTGAAATTTTAGCATGTTTTCTTCCATCTTCAGTATTAAAATGACTACACAAAAATCCATCAATTTTCATTTTTTAAAAATGCGTGCCACTATGACAGCTTTCACAATACAATCTAATAAAATTGTTTTAAATGCAGTTAAAGGCAACTAAATGCTACCGGAGCCACCTTACAGAAAAAACCAAGTGGATTTTTGGCCAGCCCAATAGTAGGTGTTCTGTAGTACGGTCCAGTGGCGTAGTCTCCTCGACCACCAAAGATGGGCACTTGAGGTGCACTCCCATGTGGGCTGTGTACACCCTTCTGTTGTAGTTGAGCATTGATTGCTGTTGGCAAGTCAGTGGGAGAGATTTACGCCCAGGGTGATCAGCTGCAGGGACTGGCTGTGACTGAGGACCTCTGACCACAGTGGATAGTCAGCTATGCAGGGGCCCACTCTACACAGCAGGACTTACTGCAGCAGGGCTCTGGTGCCCACTGAGTCTACCCTTGAGTGTGTCACTTGTGGAGGTGGTTGGGTGGTGTGCTTCAACTTGGTCTGAAGCTGTCCACTTGGTGCACTGGGTCTGGGGCCTCCTGGGAGATTCAGGCCAAGGTCAGCCGCCACCTCAGTTCTGCCCTGGTCCACGTGGCATGAGCTACAAAATGATGTTCAGATGAATGCTACTTGTTCTGGGCCTGGAGGTGCCCAGGCGAGGTCAAGCTGTGAACCAAGGTTGGCTGTTCCTAGTGCCAGGCCCGGGGGCACTCACTTATCGAGAGGTACAAGGCTTGCTGAGACCAGATGCTGCTTTTAAGAGATTTTAGGAAAATCTGAAGTATGAGCCAAGACAAGCAATTGGTATGGAAAAGCCACTGGAAACAACTTGGGTGGGCCCAAATATTGGGTGGGTGGGCCTCGGAATCACCAGGGTGGGGAAAACAATGTGGTCCAGGTTGATGGAGTCTAAAGTGGGGCTGCCTGCTGGCTCTGTGGCTCCGTGGAGTGAGGGCTCAGAAAATGGCCTCAGGCAGCACTTCTGTCCGGGGGAAAGCTGCACCCCCTAGCTCTTGCCCTGGTGCCAGACAATTCAGTTCCTCCTTGTTTGTCCCTGGTGCCTTTCATTCTGCTGCCCTGATGCTGGAGCTCAGAAGGAATTGCTTGGGACACTATTTCCCTCAGCCTCAATCCCCTCTTGTTGTTATAGCCAGAAGTTACCGGGACTTCTCTTCCTTGTACTGGAATCCTGGGCTTGGGTACTTGGGTGCAAGGGGGCTGGGACCCCTTGCTCCTTGGTTGGGTCCTCTGCTGCTGAGCCATCCCTCCTAATTTTAAACTGCCACACGTGGGTGGGGGACCAGGCTGCTCTGCATCTTTGCCCCTCCTATCAGTCTTGATGTGGCTTCTTTAATTCTCTAGTCCTGGAACTTCAATTCAGCCAGATTTGTGGGAGGAGGTGAGTATCGCCTTTATCATCTTGATCAGAACTCTCATGCCCTTATTTCTGAAGGAGGGAGTCATCAAATTGGGACTGCTGGTTTGAAGGATATACTTTCACAATCTGACAACGTGCTATTGTACCCAGACATCAGTATGCTTCCTGTAGACTAATGTACTGGTTATTTTATGCTCATGTGGATAAGGACTAAATACTAGAAAACTCTACCTTCATTTACTTTGCTTCACAAGACCATTAGTCTTAGTTGTGGTGTTATTTCTCTTTGTAGCTGCCACCAATGCCAAAAGATTATAGCCCAGAGCTGGCAGACATAATAAGAACAATGCTGAGCAAAAGGCCTGAAGAAAGACCCTCTGTGAGGAGCATCCTGAGGCAGCCTTACATAAAGCGCCAAATATCCTTATTTCTGGAGGCCACAAAGGCGTAAGATACTTCCCTTGCAAATAGCTGGGCTATGTAGATGGAATAAAAGAGGGTGGCTTTTGTAATTTTAATGTGCAAAATTTATGGTGAGTTTCTTTTACACATGAAGTGAAATTGCATGATTAGAACACAGACTGGGATTTGCTTAATTGCTAAAATCAGAAATGGAGAGAACCATTTAGAAAATCAGAGGGTGTCAAGGCATATTGAGTATGATTCACATGTGTTTTAGAAATCATATTAAAATGAAGGATCATCTAAGAAACCTATTATATTATTTACTATGTAATAGTCACATCTAAAATATAGTGCTCAGATATCTGAGGCCCTCATAAGCTCTTCTCTTTACTTACAACTTCTCAAGAGAAAAAATTCCTTTCTTTGACTTGGCAGGTCTTACCTTCACTAAACGGCTATCCAGAACCTAAGACTAAGGGCTAGACAAGGCCTTCATGCTCTCTGCCTTGTGACACGTAAAGTTGGGAGGCCGTGCTAAGGCCCCAGGGGATAGAGGACCATCTTTTTGTTTACTTGTCTCTAATTTTCCACCAAACAGAACTTGGGCCTTTCATCCACAGTGCTGGGCTTCACGCTTCTTTAGAATTTCCCAGAGGTTTAGCCCAGTTGTGGAAACGTCATACCAAAACAGTTGGGGATATTATTTCTATATACATTTATTCTGCGAGTCAAAATTGAATATACCAATCATTTTTACTCTCAGACTGAGCAAAGCAGTTGTGGTAATATTACAAACATTTGAAATTTGAGGGAAAAAAATTATCCTGGGCCCTGGCTGATACGGCTCAGTTGGTTTGCAGCATTGTCCATACACCAAAAGCTTGGGGGTTCAATTCCCAGTCAGGGCACACTTAGGTTGTAGGTTCAATCCATGTTCGGGGTGCATATGGGAGGCAACCAATCGATGTTTCTCACATCGATGCTTCTGTCTGTCTGTCTGTCTTTCCCTTCCTCTCTAAAATCAGTATACATGCTTGAAAAAAAGAAAATTATCCTTTCAAAATTATAATTTTAAAAGAAAAATGATCTCTTTTACCTTTAAAAGGAAAAGAAAATTGTCACTCTGTATGTAAGGCAATTTCTCACAGAGTCATATTTTGGGATAATTTTGTATGTATAGCAAAGCTGCAGAGATAGCGCAGCGACTTTCTGTATTCCCACCACCCAGTTCCTCCTACCACTACTGTGGTACATGTGTTGCTGCTAAGAACCCCACCCACATCATCAGTGCCTTACTGTTGACTAAGCTCCACCCTTACTCAGCTTGCCCTAGTTTTTCCACTAATGCCCTTTTTCTGTTCCAGGATTCAATCCAGGCTGTCATGTTACATTCGGTCCGCACGTCTCCTTACTCAGGTTGGGTCTGAGACAGCTTTAACGTTCTTTGTTTCTCATGACCTTGACTGTTTTTGAAGAGTGCTGGTCGAATGCTTTGTAGAGTGCCCCCTGGTTTTTGGAAGACTGTTCTCTATAAATGAAGCAGTTCTGTAAGGGGATGTTGTACATACGCGCATTTCCTCGTACACCTTTCATCTCCATTATATTGGTGATATAAAGATAAAAAGTTTCACTGTGTTCTTCATTATGTTGATAATATATTTGTCTTTTCTTCCTCATAAAGAAAAACCTCCAAAAATAATATGAAAAATGGTGACTCTAAATCCAGGCCTTTTTCTTCAGTGGTTTCTGGAAAGGCCGAAACAAACCATGGAGTAGTTGCCCACCAACCACACTCTTCTGAAGGCTCCAACACGTATGTAATGGTATGTTCCTTTTGAAAGCGTATGTGTTCTAGAAACTGCGTTAGAATGATAAATTATTTAAACAAGTTATTTTCTGTGAAATGATTAGGCTTTACTGGAGATTTTGTTGTGTAGTTAACTGTGTATCGCAGTGGGTGAAGGCGATTTCATTTATCCTACTTTATCCAAAGTGGGCTGTCAAACTGTTTGTGAAGTCAGAGCTGTAATAACTCTTGTAAGCATTTTTGTTACTGAGGTGAAATATTTGTAACAAAGTTAACCATTTTAAAGTGAACAGGCAGTTGCATTCCGCACATTCACAGTGTTGTGCACCTATCACCTCTACCTAGTGCCAAAACACTTTCACGTTCCCCAAGGGAAACCCCATACCCACTAAGGAGTCATCCTCGTTCCCATCCAGCCCCTGAAAACCAGCGCCAGTGGGTTACCTGTCTCTTATGGATTGGATTGGCCTATTTTAGATATTTCGTATACATGGAATCATGCAATGTGTGACATTTTGTGTCTTGGCTTTTTGCACTTATCCACATAACATGTGGCAATACTTCATTTATTTTATAAAGTATTGTGAATAATATATCATTGTAGGTGTATAACAGTTTGCTTATCCATTCATTTACTGGTGTATTTTGGGTGGTTTTTACTTTTTGGCTATTGCTATGAATATTTGTGTATAATTAATTTGTTTAAGCGCCTGTTTCAATTCTTTTGGGTATACAGCTAGGACTGGAAATGCTGTTCATATAGTAATTCTATTTTTAACTTTTTAAGGAACTACCACACTTTTGCATCTCAGTTTCTTTATTTTACATTCCCACTAGCAATCCACTAGAGTTGCATTTCCTCCATGACCTTGCCAACTCCTGTTACTCTTGTTTTTTGATTTAGCTCTCCTAGTGGATGTGAAGTGGTATCTCGTTGTAGTTTTGATTTGCAGTTTCCTGATGACTGATGACATAGAGTGTCTTTTTGCAAGCTTGTTGGCCTTCGTATGCCATCTCTAGGAAATGTCTACTAAGTCCTTTGTCCATTTTTAATTGAGTTTTTTGTTTTTTTTGTCATTAAGTTCTTAGAGTTCTTTCTCTGTTCTGGATACTAGACCCTTATAATGTACAAACATTAACTCCCATTCCATAGGTTACCTTTTCATTTTCTTGATAATGCCCTCTTATGCACAGAAGTTTTTTTTAAATTTTTATGAAGCCCAGTTTATCTCTTTTTCTCTTTTGTTGCATGAGCTTTTGGTGTCATCTCTAAGAGTTATTGCTGAATCCAAAGTCATGAACATGTATGGCTGTGTTTCCTTCTGGGAGTTTTACTTTTGGCTCTTATATTTAGGTTGTTGGTCTATTGTTAATTTTTTATTGTGTTAGAATATATATAACATAAAATTTGCCATTTTGAATCATTTTGAGTGTACAATTTAGTAGCCTTAATTATATTCCCAGTGTTGTGCAACCCATCATCGCTGTCTTCCAAAAACCCTTTTATCACTGCAAACAAAAACTCTGTGCCCATTAAGCAATAACTCTCCATTTTCCTACTCTCAGGCCTCATTAATCTCTGAATTTGCCTGTTCTGGTATCTTATATAAGTAGAACTATACAATATTTATTCTTTTGTGTCTGGCTCATTTCACTTAGTATGTTTTCAAGGTCTGTACATGTTGTAGCATGTATCAGAATCATTCCTTTCTATGTCTTTATAGCGTTCCACCGTATGTATACCACATTTTGTTTATCCATTCATCTGCTAACAGACATCTGGGTCCTTTCCTCCTTTTGGTCATTGCGAATAATGCTGCTATAAACACTGGTGCACAAATACGTGTTTGAGTCCCTGTTTTCAGTTCTTTGGGATATATACCTAGGATTGGGATTGCTGAGTCATATGGTAATTTTATGTTTAACTTTGTGAGGAACTTTTTGTTCCATTTTGAGCTCATTCTTTTCATGGTGTGAGGAGTGCTGTAATAACTTGGAAACATTTCACTCAGGTGGAAGACAAAGGCTTATCCCAGGAGAGACACATAGTCATTGGCCCCTTGAAGACACCTGCAAATCTGAAAGGCCACACCTGCAAACCAGACATGAGCAGTACCACAGAATCACTAGCTACAATCAGCAGAGTGAACATTGACATCTTACCTGCAGAAAGAGACCTGAGTGATGGGTTAGTTCAAGAGAATCAGCTAAGACACTTGGATGCCTCTAAGGAGCTAGAAGGTAAATGCAGTATTTCTCAAGTGAAGGAGAGGCTGCAGGATAACACTAAGTCCAGCACTCAGTCCGTAAACCTAATTCCTACATGCTCCTCTGATGATGTCACTGGGGAAAGAAAAGAAAAGCCTCTGCAGCCCCTAAACAAAGACCAAAAGCCAAAGGACCAGGTGAGTGACATGCATGAGGTGTTGGTTTCAGAGAGAAGACTGGAAAGTGCAGTTACGAAGGTGTGGGTTGTGTTGTTTGGCCGTGTTCTAGTTGTTGTTTTAGGAAAATCAGCTATTTAGTGTACCAGTTTGTTTATGTATGTATGTATGTATTTAAAATATTTACTTAGTTTTAGAGCGAGGGGAAGGGAAGGAGAAAGAGAGAGAGAAATTACTGATATGCTGTTGCCTCTCACACGCCCCGAGCTGGGGACCTGGCCTGCAACCCAGGCGTGTGTCCTGCCTGGGAATCGAACCGGCAACTTTTCAATTCACAGGCTGGCACTCAATCCCTTGAGCCACACCAGGCAGGGCAAGTGTACCAGTTTAAACATATCAGCAACCACAGGATAAGACCCGAGGTACTTGGTGGAAGCATGCCACCTGTGTGTTTGTTTCTTATTTCAGTATTGCCCTTCCTTAGTCCTCCTCGTGGAGGGGTAGTTCCAACAATTAGATAATATCTTCACTATTATTATTGTTATTATATATTGTTATTATTATATATTGTTATCTATCTAACAGATAGATAGCATTCCTTCTTGCTTTTGAAAAGTTGGATTGTTCTAATTTCTTAAGGAATTAAAAAAATATTTTATGTTTTGGAACCAAAGGGGAGGAAGAAGAGAAGAAGATAAGCAAAAGAACAAAAGGCTTTTGATATTGACACTATTCTGAGTAAATTTAATGGTTATCTTCTACCTGACTTCGGAGAGAAACCTAAATCAATTGAAGCATGGTAATAGCTGAGGATTAAAAAGAAAAACAGAAAATTTGATTAACTTTACCTTTTTATGTGTAAAATGTTTTAAAAATAGAGTTAATGATTTAATAGGTATATTGACTATATTTTTATGATCTAGGCTATATATATTTTTGAATTTGATATTGATACATATATTTAATGTAGCATCATTTATATAAACATTAAAACTTTTATTCATTTATATTCAAAATTTTTTTAATCCTCGGCTATTTATTTATTTATATCCTGAGGATATATTTATTGATTTTTTTTTTTTTTAGAGAGAGAGGAAGAGAGTGAGAGAGAAGGAAACATCGATGTGAGAGAGTAACATCAATTGACTTGTCTTTTGCATGTGCCCCAAATGGGTATGTGCCCTGACCAGGAATTGAACTGGTGACCTTTTGGTTTGCATGAGCCATACTGGTTGGGGCTAGTTTATCTTCTTATTGTTCAGTTATAAGAGTTCTTTATTCTAGATATCAGCCCCTCGTAAAATAAAAGATTTGAAAATATTCTTTTCACTTTCTTGATAGTGTTCTTTGAAGCACAAAAGTTTTTAATTTTTTTAATAATTGATTGAAGACCCATGAGGTTGAAATTTGAGGGAAGGAGAAATTTGGCTAGAAAATCCATGCTTGTTTTAATAGCCATGTAATCAGAATCTATGCAGAGGACATTTTCTGAAATAGTCTAATATAATCTGTATTTCATTATATGGTAGTGTCCTTAGGACAAAGTCTTGCCACCGAATGTTCTCTGCATCTGCAATTAAGCAAAGGGACAAATTGTATTTAAAGATCTGAAGGATATCAACACCACTATTTTTCTAACACAGAATTTTTTTCCCATAATGCCTGTGACCATTCTTTTTTCACTCAGTAGTACTTGAATTGCAAATAAATTCTTAAAAGAGGGAGAGTCCTTACCACAGAGTTTTAGTTATATCTTTGGAATGTGTCTCAGGTCCCTAAATACCATCTTCCTTCACTAACTGTTCTGAGATTTTAACCATGTGTTCTATTCTTTCTACCTAAGGCTTTGCTATAAATTAAGCAGAAATTCCTGGATAGATGTAACTCACATCTTTCTTTCTTCCTCCTTCTCTTATTTCTCTTCTATCCCTTTGTACCTCTGTTCCTGTCTCCTTCCCACCCAAAATATCAATAGGCTTCAGCATTTCTGGTTGAAGTGGGGACGGGGAACTTGAGGCACCTTTGGCATCCTTGCTCGTCCCTTGCCTACTCAAAGCCAGCAAAGCACCTATAAACTCAGGACAGCTCTGGGGCTCCCACTTGCCTACACAGGCATGGCGGGCAGGAGTCTTCCTCAGCTCTGCACAGTGCATGGAACACTGCCTGCTGCCTTCTAATTGCTCCCACAATGAGTTAAATCTAGACCTGCTGCCTGAGAATTATGGAATTTGAATCTCCTCCAACTGTGTTGAGCTGGCTAATGAGGAAGTAGTAATTCAAGTGGGAATAAACTTTTACTTTTAATAGTATGATGAAAAGTGCTGGACAGACATGGGTTCAAATCCTGACTTTGATTTCAGAGCTGTGGTGGGACTTTGGTCAAATCATCTGTCATAGCCTTAGTGACTTTATCTTAAAATAGGAATAATATTTCATTGGATTGCTGGGAGGAAAACATTTTTTAATCGTGATGAAATCCAATTTTGTCCATTTTGTTGTTGTTTCTTGTGCTTTTGATATCATGAATATTTATCCCTATGTTGTCTTCTATGAGTTTATAGTCTTAGTTCTGACATTAGGTCTGTGATTCATTTTGAGTTAATTTTTGTGTATGGTGTGAAGAAGGGATCCAACTGTGTTCTTTTGAATGCAAATATCCAAGTATCCTAGCACCATTTGTTCAAAGGTTATTCTTTCCCTATATCTTGGCACTTGGTGAAAATCAGTAGACCATAAATGTAATGGTTTGTTTCTAGACTGTCAGTTGTTTTTCACTGATTTGTATGTCTATCCTTAGGTCAGTAAAACACTGTCCTAAAATATTGCAACTTTGTAGAAAGTTTTGAAATTGAGAAGTTTGAGTCTTCCAATCTTATTCACATTTTTTTAGTATTGTTTTGGCTTTTTGGGGGATCCTTTGCATTTCTATATAAATTTTAAGATTAATTTGTCAATTTCAAAAAAAGGCTGGGATTTAATTGAATCTGAGCTTCTTTTGCAGAATATTGCTATCTTAATATACAGGGTAGGGCAAAATAGTTTTATAGTTGTGAGTATGGGAAACACAGTTTATTCTTATTAGTATTATGATTAGTATTTATTATTGTATTATGTTTCACATTGTACAAACAACTGTAAACCTACTTTTGCCCCACCCTGTATGTCTTCGAACACATTGGACATGGGATGTCTTTGAATTAACTGATTTATTTCTGTGTATTCTATTCCATTCGATAGTCTTATAAATGGAATTGTTTTCTTAAATTCATTTTCATGGAGTTCATTGCTTATGTATAAAAACACACTCAATTTTTGGATATTAACCTTGTGTCGTACTGTCTTACTGAACCCATTTATTGGTTCTAATAATTTTTTATAATGGACTCCTTACGATTTTTTTTTAAATATATTTTATTGATTATACCATTACAGTTGTTCTGTTTCCCCCCTTCATTCCCCTCTACCCTGCACACCTCCTCCCCTACCATTCCCCCCCTTTAGTTTATGACCACATGTCTCAAGTTCTTTAGATTCTGTATTTCCCATACTATTCTTGCCCTCCCCCTATCTATTTTCTACCTACGGTCTATGCTACTTATTTTCTGTACCTTCTCCCCCCTTCTCCTCCTCCCACTCCCCTGTTGCTAACCCTCCATGTGATCTTCATTTCTATGTTTCTGCTCCTGATCTAGCTGTCCTCTTAGTTTGCTTTTGTTTTAGGTGTGGTTATTAATAACTGTGAGTTTGCTGTCCTTTCACTGTTCATCTTTTTTATCTTATTTTTCTTAGGTAAGTCCCTTTAACATTTTATATAATAAGGGCTTGGTGATGATGAACTCCTTGAATTTGATCTTATCTGAGAAGCACTTAGGATTTTCTCAATATAAGATCATATCATCTGTGAATAGAGATAGTTTTGCTTTTTCCTTTCCAATCTGGATTGCTTTTATTTATTTTTCTTGCCTAATTGCTCTAGCTAGCACTGCTAGTACAGTGTTGAATAGGTGAGAGTGACATCCTTCTTTTGTTCCTGATCAAATTCATGTCATACATACATTAAGCTTTTAGAGCAGATTTTTTTGTCTGATAGAATTCTATGTCCAGCATTTCCTCTTTTGGTGTTATTGTTTTTAACAGTAGAGGAACTTTTTTTCAGGGCCAGTTGGATTTTACGGAGAAATTCTCTAAATCATTTGTTCTGTCACTCTTGTACTTGTATAAGCTTTATTTTGAACAGCCTGTGCTTATTCAGTAGAGAAATATTTACTTCACTCTTTAGAATTATGTCAGTCATTGTATTATCTTGGTATCCTTGTTCAGCTTGTTCATTATGCATCAATATTGTAAAATTTTAATCCTTTACTGTATGTTCTACGTAACATTAGGTATACTCTTAGAAGAATAAATTTAACTTTTTTTTTTTTTTTACCTATAGAAGCCAGAGGATTTGGATGACAGATGACGTATTTTTTTTTTAATTGTAAAAATCTTTAATTTAATGATATGTATGAGACCAAGCATCCCTGGCTGCTACAGGAGTGTAGTAAACAGGTATATTTAAGAAACAATTTTATTTTGAGCAGGGGCAGATCACATCTTAATGATAATGACAGTGACTCTTAGAAGCAATTTCACCCATATTAAAACCACATTGTTTGTTTTCCTTTCTAAAATGTACCGCATAGGCCCTGGCTGGTGTAGCTCAGTGGATTGAGCACAGGCCTGCAAACCAAAGGGTCACCAGTTCAATTCCCAGTCAGGGCACATGCCTGGGTTGTGGGCCAGGCTCCCAGTAGGGAGTGTGTGAGAGGCAACCATACATTTATGTTTCTCTCCCTCTATTTCTCCTTTCCTTCCCCTCTCTCTAAAAATAAAATAAATAAATAAATAAAAATTAAAAAGTAATTCAGACATCAGTAGTTTCAAGTTAATAAATGAGTAATTTTATTAAAATAATTCTATTTTTAATTCGGGAAAAGAAAAAAAGCCAGAAAATATGAATAACTAATTGATATTAAATTAAAATTTGTCCACACTGCAAATAAGCATTTACTTTGAGAATGGCAACTTTTTAAAATTTTCATTTATAATTTTAATAGTAGGTATGAAGGGTTCGGCTGTTTGGAAATTCAAAAGATTATTTTATTACTTTACATTATTGTATTTTTTAAAGGATCAAGTTGCTGGTGAATGTATTACTGAAAAAGAGGACAAAACCCACCCAGGTTTACCCGCAGTCAGCCCTGGGTCTGAAACTTCCCTGTCTCGGCAGCGACGGCAGAAGAAGAGAGAGCAGACTGAGCACAGTGGGGAACAGAGACAGGTTGGATGAGATCTCTTTGGAATAAGTCATTGTGCTGCTATTTGGGAAGTATACTTCAAGACACTTAATTCTGTTTAGAATGATTAACAGTTGCCAAAGAGGCAAACGAGCAATGCAGGGAACATTTAGAGAAGGATAATAATGGCAAGATAACTAGTTTTCATATGTCAGTGAGTTGGAAGCAGAGTAAGGATTTTGTCTTCCCCTGCGAAGATGGGCAGATCATTGTGAGAGTTAAAGGAATAGGGTAATGAGTAAGTATCTGATCCTCCCTCTTGTATTGATGAACAGTTTCTCCTTTATCATCTGCATAAAATCATGTTGACACTTCATTTCTTTTTTCCTTAAATGGAATATTACACTATTTCTTGAAGTAACTTTCATAGGCACCCTGTCATATGCTTCACTTTTGGCAGTTTCTTTTCCCCAAAGTGCAGCGTTTTGAAGTTTCTGAGAGCAAATCACTGTTGAATATGTAGGAAACATAATGATGGGGGGAACTTTGCAGGTGGGTTATCATTATCATGTGGAATTGATAATCTCCCCCTTTTAAAAATTATTTAAGTTCCAGGAGGCTCCACATCCACTTTTGCCTTCTCTTCCCACTGTTGGAAAAGTACACGTCACACCACCCGAAAAGGAGGCTGAAAACCAAAGTAGGGCAGCCACTGAGTCTGTGAGCAGTTCCAGAAGCAGTGAGATGTCATCATCAAAGGTTTGTGGGGGATACACATTGGCATTTTAAAAATCTTATAAAGCTTTTTTGGTTATAAATCCTGCATACATTGTGAAGTTTGATATTAAAGCATCTTTGCCCTGCTTTTTGCCAAACACTGGAAGGGATAGATTTGCGAATCTTAGCAGAAGTGCTGATTGAAATGGACAGATTCTAAAGTTCCAGAAATGGTCACTAGTGGTTAACCATGGAGACCAAGTAGATTCTAAATGGAGGAAATGCAAAATTCTCCAATTGCCCTTCCAAAAATGAATATGGTACTTCCCAGAAATGGGGCTGCTGTGATTGACCCTAGGTAGAAGCTATAACCCTGATGCAGACTGGTTTCAAATGGACACCCCTTTAAGACCCACGCAAGGCCTTTCCTATCGTGCTGGATGATACGTCCCACCTTGTAGGTGTTGTGAGCATAGTGAGTGGAAGTGGAAATAACTCTTGACTTTCTTTAAAAGGATCGACCATTATCAGCAAGAGAAAGGAGGCGACTAAAGCAGTCACAGGAAGCGGTGTTCCCCTCAGGTAAAGTTGTTCTCTTTTCTTCATCCACTGGAAGTTTTACTCATGGACATAAGCATTGGTTCTGACTGTGAGGTGCTAAGAATTTTCAAGCAATAGTAATACATTTGGGAAACCATTTTGGAAGAAATTTTGAAATTTCTTAGTCACTTAACTGCTTTAAAAACCAATCAGCATAGACTCTTGGATCTGGAACTTGTATTATCAGTGGAAGAGGATTTTAATAAGTGAGCAAGAGGGCTTTAAGTGACAGTAACTCCTGGGAAATTTCAGACAGGAAATCAAGTGTTTAATTTGTTTCCATTTCAGAGTCTGCTGGTAAAAGAAGCACTGTTTCTCAGGAACAGGGAGGGGAAGCTGGGAGAATGGTGGTGCCCAGGGCTGAGTGCTATGATCATTCCTATTACTGTTATCTAAAGGCAGTACTAGCAGTTTCCATTAATTGAACCTTTCTATGCCTCACGCACTGTGGTAAGCATTTCAAGGGCATTATCTGATTTTATATTTATAGTAACAGAGACAGGCAGCATTATCCCCATTTTGCAGCCCAGGGAACTGAAGCTCAGAGTAGTTAAGTATCTTATCTTGCTCCAGCTCACAGAGCGGGTAGCCCTAGAGCCAGGTTTGAAGTGAAGTGTCGGGGTACCAGAGTGATGATGATATGCTCTCTGAGTTACTGCTAGGCTGGCCCTTGCTGGTGTGTCTTCCATACCCAGTACAAAGCCCTCTTCTGTTGAGACCAGCCCACCTCAATCAAACCACTGCTGGCCTGGTCCCTCTTTCAGGCCCTTCAGTGAGGAGCACTTCTCCTAGTGCAGCGGGGCCAGGAAAGCCACAAGAAGAAAGCCAGCCCGCTTCTGCTCTATTGTTGTCTTCTGACCGATGCTTTGCTCAGGTACATCACTTAGTTCTAAGGGAAAAGGTGGACGTGTCTGCATCTGGCACATGTAATACAGTAAACCTTACAAATGCCAGCTCCAGTTATTTCCGGGATGGTGCTGGTGTAAGTTACCCTTTTTCACTCTTGGTAAGGGAAAGAGCTGGTCAGTAATTTAAAAAGATTATGTTTGCTTTGTTAAGGGAATTAATTTTTCAGGCACTCTTGTGAACAATTGGTAGCCTAGTTAAATATCTTTTTCAGGTAGTCTTTAAAACAAGACTTCCAAAGGGCTTCCACTAGGCAACACATTGCTGATTCTGCTGTTACTAATACACCCGCCTACCCGGCCACATCTTACTCTCACTTGGTTGTGTCCTGTTTGTCACAAAGATCTTACCTTCTCACCTAGGGATGATATGGGGGTCCCTTTGGTGGGTAAATGGGTAACTGCAAGGTATCCAACCATGCTCACCTTTCTATGTAATAATATCCTGGAGATAATTATCCATCTTTCTGTATTCTAGTTACTGACATTATTTCTAGGAACATATTGTTATTTAAAAAAAAAAAAAAAACCAACCCAGAAATTTCGCCCTGGCTGGTGTAGCTCAGTGGATTGAGCACAGGCCTTCGAACCAAAAGATCACAGTTCGATTCCCCGTCAGGGCACATGCCTGGGTTGCAGGCCAGTTCCCAGCAGGGGATGCACCAGAAGCAACCATACACTGATATTTCTCTCCTTCTCTCCTTTCCTTCCCTTCTGAAGATAAATAAAATTTTTTAAAAATAGAAATTTCCTGTCCTTGAAAGAAATGAAGATTTGTTTCTTTAACAGTATTTTATGATTTAGTTGCTGCATTAATCTTTTACCAAAGTTGTAGGTTTTTGCATAGTTATACCAAGTAATCCTTTAAGGCAGTTTAACAAAGAATCTCACATATCAACAAATTGAGGTTGCTTTTATTGAGGTGGCATTCTATTTAGTTTAAAATGCCAATATTTCTTATGGTACTAGCTGTCTGCCTAGGCATTGAAATACCAGGTTTGTTTACTCTTCTGTGGAAAGAAAATTTCTTAATAGTTGAGACTTTCCAGGGCCCTTGTAAAACTTCATCTTGATGTTCCTCAACCCTTGATGTTCCTTCACCTTGATGTTCCTTCACCTTGATGTTCATCAAGTTCAGGCTTGTGAACTTGATGGGTGAACTGGGATATCATTTGGGTAAAGTAACTTCAATTTGTATATCCATTGGCTTCTCCTTTAAATTGTTAAGTACACATTGTAGCTGGACATGGTATCTAAGGACTGTATCATGTATTGCATTCTGGTTGTGTGGTCATGTGGGATTGTTGTTTTTCCAAATATTACTAGAAAAGAAAACTCACCCGGTGTTTCTCTGAGGAGGAGTTAAGTTCCTCTACAAGTTCAACTGATAAGTCAGATGGGGATTCCAGAGAAGGGTGAGTTCTGTTTTCCTGTTTCCCTTCGTAAACTGTTTCTGTTTGGACTGATCATGAATGTGTGTCTATAGTAGCATTCAGACCTGCAGTGTTGGCATCAGTAACATTATAAAAGTGTTTGATATATGCTAGTGCTAAAGATATCTCTTCTAATGAACACATCTGATTTTCATTTAGGATTTTTATGAATGTCTTCCTTAGATTTTGGGGTTTATAGTTTTCCTCAGAATTGGAAGGATTTTTGACCACTAATTCTACAGATATTTTTGGGATCCCCCACCCCGCTTTCTTGAGGATTCAAATAACCTGTTTATTAGTTACTTAAAGTGGTCCCACAGCTCAGCAGTGGTATTATGTTTTTTATACTTTGTTTGATTTTTTTTCATAGATTCTGTTGCTATGTCTTTGAGTTTACTAATCTTCTGTGATGTCTAACCTGTTAATCCTATCCAGTGTGTTTAACACATTGTACTTTCCATTTCTAGAAGTTCAGTTTGGGCCTTTTTAATACCTTCCATGCCTCTCCTTAATATTTAATGCTCTTTTCTACTTTGGACATATGGAATATATTTATAATTTTATAATTATTATTTATAATAGCTTTAATGTCTTCATCTTCTAATTCTATTGTGTCACTTCTGGGTCTGTTTCTTTTACTTGCTTTTTTTTTCTCTTCACAAATGCGTGCTATTTTCCTGCTTCTTTGCATGTTTGGTATTTTTTTCTGGATTCCAGACATTGTCAATTTTCTCTTATTAGGAGGTGGTATTTTTTTTTTTATCCTCATCCAAGGACATGTTTTTTCATCGCTTTTAGAGAGAGAGGAAGGGGGAGAGGCTAGAAGAGAGGAAGGGGGAGAGAGAAACATCAAGTTGTTGCCTCCTGTACATTCCCAGATTGGGATTGGTAGGCGCCCAGACTGGGAATTGGACCTGCAACCTAGGTATGTGCTCTGACCGGGAATTAAACTGGCAACTTTCTGGTAATGGGATGACGCTCCAACCAACTGAGCTACACTGGCCAGGGCAGTATTTTTATACTTTAAAAAATATTCTTCAGCTTTGTAATTAATACAATATAATCGAATCACTTAGAAATAGCTGGGCAGAATTTATACCCAGAATTTGGGGCTTCCTCTTTCTGGCTCTCCCCTTTCCAAGATTCCTCCCTCATTTTCTAGTGGCAGTGGTTGTCTAGAAATGCGTCCTTTGGGTCTGAAGGCCAGAAAGACTGTGTTTTCTGTTGTACTTTAGTACTTATGGCCTTTCTTTAGGGTAAAAGGTGTTGACTTCCCTCCAGAATCTGCTTGCAGATCCTGTACACTCTCCAGTGCCTTCACATAGTTGATTTTTGTGTTATGTTCGGCATTTATATTTCTTACTTGTGGAAGGGTCTGTCTGCCAGAGATGACTTGGCCATTTGGAAGTAGAATTTCCTAGAGGTTATTTGATCATTTGGCATCTAATTTTTTTTATGAAGCCAATTAAATAACAAGGGGATTTTTTTTTTCCAGGAAAGGTCATTTGAGTGAAATAAGTGACTTGGTACAATTGATGACTCAGACCCTAAAGTTGGACTCCAAAGAGAGCTGTGAGGATCTCCCAGTACCAGATCCAGTGTCAGAATTTAAACTTCATCGGAAGTACCGGGACACATTGATACTTCATGGGAAAGTTGCAGAACAGGCAGAGGACCTCCGTTTTAAAGAGCTACCTTTCGGTGATCAGTTTATTCTTTTCTAGCAAACTGGAGAGCATGGGTTTATTGGCGAAATGTATCACACCAAGGAGCAGCTAATACTTGCCAATTTTTTATCTTTTTATTATTTAATTTGGAAATCTCCATAAAAGGTATATCTTGTTTTATGTAACAGTTGTGATCCTGAAAAGTTCCATTAAGTTGGTTTTTAAAAATAAATGTAAATAAATACATGTTTGGAATTTTTTACGTGGATTTTCCTCAAATTAGACAGTTTTGTTTTTTAGGTTTAGGAGGTGGTAATAAGACATAAAGCATAAAGTCATATACAGCCATACCTTGTTTTATTGTGCTTCACTTTATTGCACTTTGCAGATGTTGTATTTTTTATAAATTGAAGGCTTGTGGCAACCCTGCATTGAACAAGTCTATTGGTGCCATTTTTCCAACAGGCTTAGATGATGGTTAGCGTTTTTTAGCAATAAAGTATTTTTAATTAAGGTATATACATTGTTTTTTAAAGCATAATGCTATTTGCTTTAAATAGCACACTCAGTTGACCACAGTATAGTGTAAACAACTTTTATATGCCCTTGGAAACCCCCAAATTTGTGTGACTCACTTATTGTGGTAGTCTGGAACCAAACCTGCAATATCTCTGAGGTGTACTTGTATACATTTTAGTCATTAAAAATACATGACATCATTAAACTGAACTCTTGTCAAAGTTAAAAGGATCTTAACATGACAAGATTTTTTAAAAATTGCATTCTTCTTGCTGCAGTGCTGAAAGAATTCATTCTTTCCTGTCTTTGTTATTACTTTCTAGCTATCGTGCCAGGTTCTGAAAAGATCAGAAGAATAGTTGAAGTCTTGAGAGCTGATGTAGTCCAGGGCCTGGGGATTCAGCTTCTAGAGCAGGTGTATGAGCTTTTGGAAGAAGAGGATGAGTTGGAGAGAGAGGTGAGTGTCCTATTAGCTTTGTCTGTGGCTTATGCTATAGAATTTTTTAACAGCCTTTTGAAATATAATTAACATACCCTACATTTTACCCATTTAAAATTTGTAATTCAAAAAAATTTTAAAAATGACATATGGTACAAAAAAAAACCCCAAAATTAAAAATAAAGTGTACAATCCATTGGGTTTTAGTATATTCAAAGTTGTACCGCTGTCACCACAACCAATGTTAGAACATTTAATTACCCCCAAAAGAAACCTTGTACCCATTGGCAGTTGTTCCCTGTTATCCCCAAAGCCCTCCACCCCTAAGTAACCACTAATATTTCTGTCTCCATAGATTTACCTGTTCTGGATATTTCACTTAAATCAAATCATATAAAATATGTGGTCTTTTATGAATAGATTCTAGCATAATATATAATGCATGCATCATATACTTACTTCATTCTTTTATATAACCAAAAATAGTCCATTGCATGGCTATACCATGTTTTGTTTATCTGTTTGTCAGCTTATGGACATTTAGATTGCTTCTACTTTTTGGCTATTATGTCTAATGCTGCTTTGAACATTCATGTATAAATTTTTGTGTGGACATGTTTTCATTTTCCTTGGGTATGTACCTAGGATGGAAATTACTGTATCATATGGAAAGTCTATATTTAACATTTTGAAGAAGGGTCAGACTGTTTTCTGAAGTGGCTTTACCATTTTACATTCCCACTAGTAATAGGTGAGGGTTCTAATCCCTGTCAACGCTTGTTATTGTCATCATTTTGATTGTAGCCATTCTAGTGGGTGAGCTAATTCCTGATTGTGATGATCAGTCATAGCTCACAATATGCCAGTTACTCCCCACTAATCATTCGCATTATGTCGCGTCTGCTTTATGAAACTTTCAGAGTGGTAGAAGTGCCTGAACAAACATATTTTGACCATTTACTCTTTTTGGATATTTATGTTTCAGTTTTTTGACAGTAATAATAATAACAATAACAACAATAAAGTTGTAAATTCCTAGAAATATAGTTGCTTCTCTACCAATTTAATAATAACTAATATCTAACTGTTATTTTGACTTTTTCTTTTAACGTAATTTTAGACTAACAAAAAGAGTCATAAATATATTTTAGAATTTCCTTAATACTTCTTATCTATATTCCCCACTGTTACTATTCTACTACTTTTGCCTGTCATTCTCTTTCTCCATATTTATAATGACTTCTTTATCCATTTGTAAGGAAGTAGTGACATGATGTCCTTTTACTCATAAATTCTTTGGTGTGTTTCTTAAAAACAAGAATACTTCCTTGCATCACCACAGTAGATTATCAGGTTCTGATAATTAACATCAGCACAATACTATGATCTAATCTAAGTCTGTAGACCTTATTTGTTTTTTAAATTTTTATTTATTTTTAGAAAGAGGGGGAAGGAGGGAAAAAGAGAGGAAGAGAAATATTGATGTGTGAGAGAAGCATCAGTTGGTTGCCTCTTCACGCCCCCAGCTGGGGATGGGGCGGCAGGCAACCCAGACAGATGCTGACCGGAAATTGAACCAGTATTCTTTTTTTCAATGGATGGCACCCAGTCCACCGAGCCACACCAGTCAGGACTGTAGATGTTATTTAAATTTCACTAATTGTTACACTGATATCCTTTATAGCAAAAGAAAAAATATTTATTCTGGGATTTAATCAATTCAACTCAATCAGTATTCAATTCAACCAAGATTATACACTTTAAAAACCTTATTGAGATATAATTCATATACCGTACAATTCACCCATTTAAAGTATATATAAAGTGGTTTTTAGTTTATTCACAAATATATGCAACTATCACTATGGTTAATTTTAAATATTTTCATCTCATTACCAAGAAGCCTTAGCCTTGGCTGGTGTGGATCCATGGACTGAACACTGGACTGTGAACCAAAAGGTTGCCAGTTCCATTCCTACTCAGGGCACATGCCTGGGTTGTGGGCCAGGTCCCTGGTTGGGAGCGTTCGAGAGGCAACTGATCAATGTTTCTCTTGCACATGGATGTTTCTCTCCCTTTCTCCCTCCCTTCTCCTCTCTCTAAAAAATAAATAAAATCTTTAAAAAAAAAAAGAAAAAAGAAGCCTTATACCTTTAACTATAGGCCCTCTATTCTCTCTTCTCTCCAGACCTAAAGAACCACTATCCACTTCATGTCTCTATAGATTTGCATACTCTGGATGTTTCATTTAATGGAATCATACAAAACATAGGGTATTTTGTGACTGTCTACTTTCACTTAGCATAAGATTTTCAAGCTTTATCTGTGTGGTAGTATATGTCAGTTCTTCATTCCCTTTTATAGCTGAAAAGTATTCCATTGTATGGTGTCTCTCCTCATTCATGGTTTCATTTTCTGTGGTTTTAGTTACCCATGGTCAACTGTGGTCCTAAAATATTAAATGAAGAATTCCAGAAATAAATAATGCATACGTTTTAAATTGCACGCCATTCTGAATATTGTGATGAAATCTCACGCTGCCCTGCTCCCTTCCACCATAGATGTGAACCATCTCTTTGTCTAGCATATACACGCTTTACATACAGTACAATAAAATATTTTGAGAGAGATCACATTCATATAACTTTTATTACAGTATAGTTATTTTATTAGTTATCTAATTTTTTGTTAATCTCTTACTGTGCTTGATTTATAAGTTAAACTTTATTGTAAGTATGTATGTATAGGAAAAAACAGTATACATAGGGTTTGGTACTGTCTATGGTTTCAGACATCCACTGGGAGTCTTGGAACATATCCCTGGCAGATAAGGAGGTACTACTTTATCACATTTCATCTGTTCCTCAGTTGACAGACATTTGGTTTTCTACCTTCTGCCTATTATAAATAACGCTGGTATAAGCTTTTGTGTGGATTCATCTCTCTTGGATGCATAACTAGGAGTGGAACGCTGCATAATATGATAACTCGACATTAAATGTTTGAGAACCTTCCAGACTTGTTTCCAGAGCAGCTGCACCATTTCACATTTCTACCAGCAACATAAGAGGATTCCAGTTTCTCACATCCTGGCCAACACTTGTTGTTGTCTGACTTTCTGATAGCCATCTTAGTGGGTATTCATCATGGTTTTGATTTGCATTTTCAGGATGACTGATGATGTTGAGCATTGTTTCATGTACCACTTATTCATGTGTTTTCTTAGAGATAGGTATACTCAAATTCTTTGACCTTTTTTTAAAGGTTTTATTTATTTATTTTTTAGAAAGAGGGGACGGAAAGAAGAAAGAGGGAGAAACGTCGGTGTGTGGTTACCTCTTTCATGCCCCCTACTGGGAACCTGGCCAGCAGCCCAGGCATGTGCCCTGACAGAAACTGGCAATCCAGCCCTGGCTGGTGTAGCTCAGTGGATTGAGCACGGGCCTGTGAACCAGACAATCGCGGTTCGATTCCCAGTCAGGGCACATTCCTGGGTTGCAGACCGGTTCCCTGCAGGCCAGTTCCCAGCAGGGGATGCACGAAAGGCAACCATACATTGATGTTTCTCTCCCTCTCCTTCCCTTTCCCTCTAAAGATAAATAAATAAAATATTAAAAAAAAAAAAAGAAACTGGCAATCCTTTGGTTCACAGGCTCCATGCTCAATCCACTGAACTACACCAGCCAGGGCTGTCCTTTTAAATTGACTTATTTATCTTTTAATTATTGAGTTTTAAGAGTTCTATATATGTATTCTGGATACAGATCTCTTACCAAATATATGATTTGCAAATATTTTCTCTTATTTTGTGGGAATTGCAGAATGTCTTTTTATTTTCTTGATAATGTTCTTGGAAGCAAAAAGAATTTTTTTAATGAAGTCCAATTTATTTTCTTTTTCGTGTTCTTTCTTTCTGTGTGCTTTTGGTATCATCTAAGAATCCATTGCCTAACCCAAGGTCATGCTGTGTTAACACTATGTTTTCTTTCTAAAAGGTTAATAGTTTTAGACCTCATATATAGATCTTTGATGTATTTTGATGTGTTATGAAGTAAAGGTCCATCTTTATTGTTGTGCATATGGTTGTCCTACTATCTCACTGCCATTTGGCAAAAAGACTGTTCTGTGACATTGTCAAAGAAATTTATAGACACATGGGTTTAATTTTGGACACCCAATTCTGTTCCATTAATCTATATGTCATCCTTAAGTACCATACTGTATTGTTTACTATTGCTCAGTAGCAAGATTTGAAATTGGGATAGGTGAGTCCTCCAATTGTGTTACTGTTTTTTTAAGATTCTTTTGAGTATTCTGAGTCCCTTGCACTTCTATGAGTTTTGGAATTTGCTTGTCAAATTCTGCAAATAAGTCAGCTGGAATTCTCATAGAGGTTGTGTTGAATCTGCAGATCAATATTAAGACTTCTAGTCAAAGGGGGGGTGGGAAAAAATTAAAAAAAAAAGACTTCTGATCCATGAAAATGAAATAATTTCCCACTTATTTAGACCCTAAATGTCTTAAAACAATGTTTTGTTGTTTTTGGAGTGTAAGTTCTGCACATCTTTTGTTAAATTGGTTCCTAAGTATTTTATTCTGTTTGATGTTTTTGCATTTAGAATTATAGTCATTTGGGATTTTCACTGCAAATGCATAGAAATAAATTTGATTTTAAAAATAACAACCACGGTATCCTGCAATCTTGCTGAACTTGTTTATTAGGTCTAATAGCCTTTTTTTTTTTTTTGGTGTGAAGATATATGACCTTAGATTTCTAAACATAAGATAATGTTATCAGCAAATAGAGTTACTTTTACTTCTAATCTGGATGCCTTTAACTTTTTTTCTTGTGTAAGTGCCATGGCCAAAACCCCTAGTACAAAGTTGAATAGAAGTGGTGAGAGCAGACATCCTTGTCTTGTTCCTGATCTTAGAAGGAAGGCATCCTATCTTTCACCATTCAGTATGATGTTAACTGTGGGTTTCATGGATGCCCTTTATCAGGCTGAAGAATGTCC